GCGATTCGGAGAGGATACCGACATGGGAACCGAGCTTAGTGTAGCGTTACCTAATTCCATTCAGTTTCTTCGAATCCACTCCCGCGAACCTATATCCACCCTTTCGAACAGCTCCTCTGAATTAATGGCGGACATTTAGCCGGATTGGAGATCGTAGGACTCGACCTTATTGCACAAGATCGTGCGTTCCGCTATGCTCTCCCCCAACCTTACCGTCCCTCCCGAGGTAAACATTATGTATTTCAATAAACGTTGACACTAATGTCGCGCGATATTTCACCGATGTTGCTGGACCGTGTTCGTGTATACCAGTACCAACCCCCTAAAACATTAAGCGGCGAAAATCAATTCGAAAAATTCCTGCAAAATCGAACTAATTTCATTAACGAAACTGAGTTTATACAGTTAAAATTGATCGTAGCGAGTGATATTTTGATTCCTTAGCGCATTCTAAGCATCGTAAAAGAATTCACTTTTTCGAGTTCCTGCTTGTTTATTGCAGCAAACCCTTCAGTACTTTGGTAACTTGTAAATTGTGTCACTAGCAGACCTGTATTTGCGCGATGTTTCCAAATGGAATTAAGTTTAACGAAGTCGCTGGTTGCTTTTATGTACACTTTAATATTATAGTACAGCTATGGTCTTAGCGATGCGTTATTTGCGTTCTATCTGCGTTCTTAGAGTTCTACGAGTTCTGATCGTTCTAACAATTCTGGTGGTTCTAGCAGTTCTGGTGGTTCTAGCAGTTCTGGTGGTTCTAGCAGTTCTGGTGGTTCTAACAGTTCTGGTGGTTCTAACAGTTCTGGTGGTCCTAGCCGTTCTGGTGGTTCTGACAATTCTGGTGGTTCTAACAGTTCTGGTGCCCTTCCGCTTGTCACCTCGGTTTTTTTGTTGATTGGTGTATGGTGGGTTTTGGTGGAGGAAATGAAGCGTTTTTGATTGGAGATGGGTGTGTCGGAAGGAACTTGAAATGAGGAGTGGGAAACTGTTCGAAAGTTCGGGTTGTAAATTTTCCGTTTTGGGAAATATGGAATTTATGAGTCGTGTTGTCCGTTCGTCGGGTCGAAGGGTATTTTCGTTTGGGTGCATTTTTTACTGTCGCAGGTATATCGCTTAATTGCTCAAGGGATGGCCAGGGACGTTCGACCTTCGGTGTTGCCGTCGCAACAAGACCGCTTCTGCATTTATAATAAAAATTAAGTGAAATTTGCATGACACAATTTCCGACTCGTTAAAATTATTAATCCCTTGGACTATAACGTTGTGTTATACTCATGAAAAAGATTACGGACAAGATCTATTACGTTTAGACGTTGTACATTTATTCTAAATCGAAATAAGATTTCATACGTCTATGATCAATACTTGATCACTACGTGCATTGAAACATACATCTTCCTGCCTTTGTGAGCATTTGTTAACGTCAAAGAAGTTGTAATTAGTGTAGAAATGAAAGGTAAATGTAACAACAGATATTCTTGTTTCTTACGATTCAGTTAAAAAATTTCTGTCGTACGCAAAGATCCGCTAACCACATCGTAAACAAATTCACCTTGTTCGAATATGTTACATAAAAATGAATTTTGGAAACTAGCAAAAATTTAATGTCGCCCATGTGTGACCCACGCAGCATTTAACGTTTTAAACAGACGACAACGAAATTTTTCTAGCATTTGTACCATGCGTTGTACCTTTTAAGACTCTTTGAGTATTGATTTAATTCATCGTAAAACAATTTATTTAATAATGTAATAATCGCTACGTTAAGCAATTAATACACGTTCATCATTAATATACGTTATTGTAATTATTTAGAAATGCAATAACTCATCAAGTTTGCAATGTTTCAACCTAAATTTACTTGCAGTTACTAATTTGAAAATATGTAATAACAATTGAAACAATAACTTATAATAATTGGCAGTTCAATTAAGGGTTAAGATGTATGGTACCCAATACTCTTCCATCTTCCTTGTATCTTGCACATCCTAACAATATTCGGTAGACTGAATATATTAGCAACAGAGAACATGTCATCAGGTTATTACAAGTAATCTCCTTTATGAGTCAGACTCGAGAGGAAGTACGGCAAGGGGTTAACTTGTCAAAAGGTCATTCTGTGCGCGCGTCGGCACATCAATTATTTCGAGTTAATCCATTTCCCACACAAGGAAGGATGAAACGTAATGACCTTGTTATCAATTAATTTGTACAGCATCGTGTGAAGTGGACAGCGCATAAAGCTTCTACGCTGTTACCACCCTGATAAATTGCTTCTATTCGATTCTCTTGGGATAAACAAACGATTCAACGCTTTTCAGCTTTCCTCGATGGAGTTGTTCTAACACCATTTTTGCTGATCTTTTAAATGTACAGTAAATTCTCCCTAATTGACGCTCAGATTGTACACAAGAATGGAGAATTTTGGTAGAGGAGATACGATTGTTCGAGCCTTGCGGCTCGTTTTATTGTCGAATAATTAATTATTATACATTGATCATTTATTATCGAACTTCTATTTTAGACATAACTCAGTTATTAAGGTAAATAAAGTGTTCGTTTAGCTTAAATATCTGCACTCTACTGATTCTAGAGATCATATACAGTAAATTCTCCTTTACTGACGTTCAGGTTGCAACTAAGAACAAGAAAAAATCTTCCTTGTTTTTAACTAGAAAAACCAGGAAAAATCTTCTTTGTTTTTAATTAGAAAAACAAGACAAAATCTTCCTCGTTTTTAACTAGAAAACCCAGGAAAAATTATCCTTGTTTTTATCTTAAAAACCCAGGAAAATTCTTCCTGCTATTAACTAGAAAACTCAGGGAAAATCATGCTTGTTTTTAATTAGAAAAACTAGGAAAAATCTTCTGTATTTATAACTAGAAAACCCGGGAAAAATCTTTGTTTTTAACTAGAAAACCCAGGAGAAATCTTCCTTGTTTTTAACTAGAAAACTTAGGAAAAATCTTCCTTGTTTTTAAGTAGAAAACCTGGGAAAAATACTCGTTGTTTTTAACTAGAAAAACCAGGAAAAATCTTCTTTATTTTTAACTAGGAAACTCGGGAAAAATCTTCTTTGTTTTTAACTAGAAGACCCCGAAAAAATTTCCCTGTTTTTAACTAGAAAACCTGGGAAAAATATTCGTTGTTTTTAACTAGAAAAATCAGGAAAAATCTTCTTTATTTTTAACTAGGAAACTCGGGAAAAATCTTCTTTGTTTTTAACTAGAAGACCCAGAAAAATCTTCCTTGTTTCTAACTAGAAGACCTGGGAAAAATATTCGTTGTTTTTAACTAGAAAACCCAGGGAAAATCTTCCTTGTCTGTAACTAGAAAAACCGGGAAAAATGCTCGTTGTTATGAACTCGAAAAACGAGGAAAGATGATGAACGTGCGTTGATTTTGACGCTTGTGTGCCCCCAGCCTAAAAGGTACGTCGATCCCGTGACGCGCGCCGTTACGCCCGTTCGACGTACAAGACTTTAAAAGAATCGATCGCAGCCGGCAGGCTTCTGCGCGGCCACTCAAATCAAGGGTGAAATTATTGGAGAGGCGAAACGAATTTTTGAAACGTTCCCTCAAAGAAGACTTTAATCTTCCTGGAAGAAAGGTCGGCCAGATAAGAATACACCATGCCCCCTTTCACATCTAACGAGACGCCTGTTCGACGGCAAAAGGATACATTAATACGCCCTTCTTGGTTATTCCACGTGAAACCTCTTCCGTATCGCTGCGTTTACCGTGCACCAACAAGCACCGGCAACGATGTCTCGCGTGACACAAGTTATTATCATTAATTTATTAGAAGCAGAGCGCGCGGATCTTCCAGCGATCAGAAATTCTGGTTCGGTGATCTAAAAAGTGTCGAGTCAAAGGGAAATTCTTATGCGACTCTGTCGGACGCTCAATAAATTATCAAGTTCGTTGGAATTGTTGTAATTCGCAGGTACGTGGGATTTTAAGATAATTTAAGATTTTCTGTATAATTATGAACATGGAATTCATTGAAAGCATGCGATATGAAGGTAGTAGAATAAGGTGAAATACAAACAGTGGAATAATTTTGAGGGCTCGTAATTTCATAGATGGAAGCGTAGGAGATATTGGAGGTTGTCTGTGCTTCCATATGTGGAATCCCAAACTTTTTAATACCCTGGTTACTGCGGCACGTAATTAACTATAAAAAGAACTACTAATAATAAGGAACTTTTATCTAACAGATATTTCGAAAATATCTCTGCCGACATTTCAGGTAATTCGTCCTATATATGCAATGAAATATTATAAATAATTGTTGTTATTAATTTACTAAGTGATGGCAAATTTATGAAGCATAGATTACATAAAATGCGATGCCAACAATAACTGCGGGATTTTATCAGAAATAAAAGTTATCTACACTAATTTCAAGATCAGGAGTTAAATAACAATATTTTTTTCTTAAGAATTTTAATCATTTGAAAATAATATGGTCACGTTCTTATATTCTTCCGGCGATGATACAATTTTCTGTTTCACGTATTATCGATTTTCTCGCGAATGTGTAAAGATATATTACATTATGTTATATTATATAATATTTTAATATTTTAATTTTAATTTAATATTATGTGTTATATAATATAACACAAAACTATAAAGAATGTAAGGATGTGGTTACATTATTTTCAGGTTGTTACAATTATTGAACGAAAAAAGACACTTTCACGTCATGCGTAAGGATCTAAATGTAACTAAAAGAAATCGAGAAACCTTGCGGCTCATTTTTCTAGTTGTTGACAATCGCAAAGCTCGAATAATCGTATCTCCTCTTCCCAAATTCTCCATTTTTGTGTACAATCTGAGCATCAATTAGGGAGAATTTACTGTACGTCTTACGGAGTGCTTCCACCGAACGAGCAAATGGCAATTGAACAACAGTCCTTCTTCCGCTTAGTAGCGTCCCCCAATATCCAATTTTCCAAGAGATCCGCTACCCTAATTTCATGCGTTCTTTCAGGATGAACTTCGACGGCAGGGCGTGCGTGCTTCGAGCCCTCTGCGAGGCTTCCCAGCGTCTCGTGCCGAAAGGGAACACTCTGGTCGAGGAGATGATACGGATATCGTTCTCGTAAGACTCCGAAGCAGCAAAAAATGATACCAGTCGTGGCGAAGGGTCCCTCGTCCTCGTTACCGTCCTTACGGTTAAATTTTAGGGTCGGCTTCGGTCGGAAATCAATACGATTTGAGCATAATCTTGTTTCGGCGGAGAAAGTGACCGGCAGAGATAGCAGAAACTTCAATTAAGTGGTGAACACTGTTTGACGGTTGAAAAAAAGAATGTGTTTTCGATATTCCCTTTCGAGAGAGGCTAATTTGTATTTATTCTTTAAATTGCTTCATAATACTTGGAACTATTAATAGCTTTAGTTTGTATCAAAATGGTCCACGAATCAATGCCAAATGAACTTCAACAGTTGGGAATTACGTAAAAAATTATTGAAAAATGACTGAAATTTCATAGCGAATTCAACAAATTATTTGGATCGATATAAAATGACAACTTCTTTTGACATGTAGCTCTGTGATTGAATAGTCTATTTATAGGTTTCCGATAATTAAAGTGTTGGAAGTACGAAAAAACAGACTAGAGGACTATAGTGGAATAGTATCGTGGTATAGAATAATGTCATTTCTGAAAACTTAATTTCGCAGACCTACGTTTCAGATGAAAAAAGTAAAACATGCACCTGTAGAATTCAAAATGAAACGAACTAAATAAATAATTAACAGTTACGCAATGCGCGTACAACTGGAATGAAAATTCATCGTCTTAATTAGTTAGCTGTGGCGCTTCCTTTTCAGACATATGTGTCGCGAGAAACAAGCGATGACGAGTATACTCGTCAAACGCAGAGCAAGTGTCGCTGTTAAAATATTGGATCAAAAAGACGGTTTTATTCTATAAAATTAACAAATTTATTATTAATATTTACTTATTCACTTAACATTAACACATACTACATACATAATAAAGGAGAAACGCAGGAAAAATAGAATACTTATAAAAATTAAAAATTTAAATTGCTGCCGTAGTGTGGTATTCGGCAAAGCAAGGAACGATAATTAATGGCACTTTGCACGTCGAACACCAATATCGTGATTCTTTTCTAATTCAATTCTTTTTCAATCTTATTTCTAGAACAATGTAAACACCTTCGTGTAGGATTGACAAAATATTCCAAACATCTTGAAATTCGGGAATATGTTTTTGTTTTTACTAAAATTACAATTTAAATAGGCAATGGTCACTACTTTTTACAAACGACGAGTATACTCGTCACGGCACAAAATACTACAACTTCTCCATGACTAGTATACTCGTCAAACACAGCTAACTGGTTAACAACCGCTACTGTACTTCTCGAAATACGTGATCGTCCAACCTAGAAAGCAACGAAAGCAATCTTACACCAAAGCTACCGAAGCCTCCAAATTTCGAAATTTGTTTATACTATTCTGCGACTCGATGTATTCAAATGCGACACTGCAAGGTACTAGGTCGAAAGGATTTTTTCAAGCCGCCACAATAGGAAACGCCCCTAAGCGGCCGAGAGTAAAAATAAACTAGCTCGTAGTCCTTGCTCGGGAGCCGTGTATAATGCTGGATGTTCTATCCTGTCCGAGGCCCTTCGTCCGCGAGTCACTGGAAGTATCCTCGTGGGCCAGCGACACGCGAAACGTTTCAGTGCTCTTTCCCATTGGCCCTAACAGGTTCCCTTTGAAGCGGCTGTTCTCGTCGGAGCCGGAGGAGCACCATACGTACGGATCGGCTCATAAAGCGGGCCACGAGGGCCAAGATTGCGCTGGCATGTTCGCCGAATGCAGTTTCTCCCTCATCGACATGGCCCTCGGGAAATACGACGCGGCACGGACACGGGAACCACGATTTCCGCCCGGATACGCTGCAGCCACCGATGCGGTACGCTCTTCCGGGGAGTGGACGAGGTACAACATGAAATAAGACGACGCATCTGACTGGAAGACGACTTAGGACGACGCGTAGCCCGGGAAATCCAGCCACCGGGCTTTCACCGAAGGTTTCGGGGCTCGTTCACTCGATATCAGCCGGAACTTGTTCGATGACCTCCAGCCGGACAGCCGCGCCGACGCACAGTGGAGTATTTTGCCTCAAAAGCTAGAAAAAGTCTGATCTAGGCCTGATGTGTAGATTGCTGTATAAAATCATAACATATAAAATCTTCACTAACTGCGTTAGGTGAATTCATAGAAAACGATATTCAAATACCTTCTCCGAGTGTCGAATACGTTCTACGTAAAAAAATAAGAAGACAAAATATGGTGTTACATTTTCGTATTCGGGACTCCATTTTCGAAAAAGTAGATTATTCTTCTATCGCAGTTACCTCCGTCCGAGATAGCATTTACAAACATTGACAGCGATGGAAACGTTCCGTTTTTACTGTCCGTTGCGCAGAAGAAGTCCGCATGAGAAAAGTGTAGGACCGATTCCTATCAATCCATTCGTGTCAACGCCCTCGCAGAAATAGGATAAACGCGTTTCCCTTATTGGCAGATTATTGGCCTTTCTATTAGCTCAAAGTGCACGCAACACCGAATTTCCACGAAACGAGGGACTCGAGTCCGGCCGATTAAAAACAAACAACGCCTCCTGCCTCCCGTCACGGCTCCCTCCACCGTGGTCGCCGCAGCCGCTAGGAGCGCATCAGACGCGGGTGCCTGTGCTTTACGTGACACGGGCGAGCGAGACGCGCGACGGGAATCAGGAGGCGTAGAACAGTCGAGACAAAGTGAAACAGACGTAACAATTACAAGATGCAAGAGCGTTGACTTATCCCTTAAGCATCTCTGATCAATTGACCGGTTTGACTATTATTGAAATTATGAAGATACTGAAATGTGATATAGAAATTGTAACAAATGTAAGTGTCACTTTTAACTCTCGGCAAGATTAGTGTTAAATAAACCACTTGTAGAACATTTTACCATTAAAATATATATATTATAGAGATGAACTTCGCACGTAAGGGGCGCGAAATATTTTTGAATTCAGTCTTGTGCCCTGCTTCTCAAAATGTCCTAAATCGTTGCCATATTATAACATAATCAGTAGAGACAAAGTTGTAAAAGATCTTTTCTAACAAGATTCATTCAAGTAAGATGTCAATTATGATATCCCTGTCTCTTATACACATCTTGGTTATTCCACGTGAAACCTCTTCCGTATCGCTGCGTTTACCGCTGTCTCTTATACACATCTTGGTTATTCCACGTGAAACCTCTTCCGTATCGCTGCGTTTACCGCTGTCTCTTATACACATCTTGGTTATTCCACGTGAAACCTCTTCCGTATCGCTGCGTTTACCGCTGTCTCTTATACACATCTTGGTTATTCCACGTGAAACCTCTTCCGTATCGCTGCGTTTACCGCTGTCTCTTATACACATCTTGGTTATTCCACGTGAAACCTCTTCCGTATCGCTGCGTTTACCGCTGTCTCTTATACACATCTTGGTTATTCCACGTGAAACCTCTTCCGTATCGCTGCGTTTACCGCTGTCTCTTATACACATCTTGGTTATTCCACGTGAAACCTCTTCCGTATCGCTGCGTTTACCGCTGTCTCTTATACACATCTTGGTTATTCCACGTGAAACCTCTTCCGTATCGCTGCGTTTACCGCTGTCTCTTATACACATCTTGGTTATTCCACGTGAAACCTCTTCCGTATCGCTGCGTTTACCGCTGTCTCTTATACACATCTTGGTTATTCCACGTGAAACCTCTTCCGTATCGCTGCGTTTACCGCTGTCTCTTATACACATCTTGGTTATTCCACGTGAAACCTCTTCCGTATCGCTGCGTTTACCGCTGTCTCTTATACACATCTTGGTTATTCCACGTGAAACCTCTTCCGTATCGCTGCGTTTACCGCTGTCTCTTATACACATCTTGGTTATTCCACGTGAAACCTCTTCCGTATCGCTGCGTTTACCGCTGTCTCTTATACACATCTTGGTTATTCCACGTGAAACCTCTTCCGTATCGCTGCGTTTACCGCTGTCTCTTATACACATCTTGGTTATTCCACGTGAAACCTCTTCCGTATCGCTGCGTTTACCGCTGTCTCTTATACACATCTTGGTTATTCCACGTGAAACCTCTTCCGTATCGCTGCGTTTACCGCTGTCTCTTATACACATCTTGGTTATTCCACGTGAAACCTCTTCCGTATCGCTGCGTTTACCGCTGTCTCTTATACACATCTTGGTTATTCCACGTGAAACCTCTTCCGTATCGCTGCGTTTACCGCTGTCTCTTATACACATCTTGGTTATTCCACGTGAAACCTCTTCCGTATCGCTGCGTTTACCGCTGTCTCTTATACACATCTTGGTTATTCCACGTGAAACCTCTTCCGTATCGCTGCGTTTACCGCTGTCTCTTATACACATCTTGGTTATTCCACGTGAAACCTCTTCCGTATCGCTGCGTTTACCGCTGTCTCTTATACACATCTTGGTTATTCCACGTGAAACCTCTTCCGTATCGCTGCGTTTACCGCTGTCTCTTATACACATCTTGGTTATTCCACGTGAAACCTCTTCCGTATCGCTGCGTTTACCGCTGTCTCTTATACACATCTTGGTTATTCCACGTGAAACCTCTTCCGTATCGCTGCGTTTACCGCTGTCTCTTATACACATCTTGGTTATTCCACGTGAAACCTCTTCCGTATCGCTGCGTTTACCGCTGTCTCTTATACACATCTTGGTTATTCCACGTGAAACCTCTTCCGTATCGCTGCGTTTACCGCTGTCTCTTATACACATCTTGGTTATTCCACGTGAAACCTCTTCCGTATCGCTGCGTTTACCGCTGTCTCTTATACACATCTTGGTTATTCCACGTGAAACCTCTTCCGTATCGCTGCGTTTACCGCTGTCTCTTATACACATCTTGGTTATTCCACGTGAAACCTCTTCCGTATCGCTGCGTTTACCGCTGTCTCTTATACACATCCTCACGAAGCGAGAACTTTCCGGATTTTTTTTACTACGTAACAGTGATATTTTTAAGAAAAACGCTGTTCATCTTTACTTTAGAACATCTGAAGGTTATGTCACGTTTATGTCAAGGTTATGTCAAGGTTATTGATAATATTCTTCATATTTCTCTAACAAACATATCCCTAACATCCTTTATAACACGATTATTATTTATTAAAATAGCTTTGCGAATCATTCGTTGAACTGTGTGTTCGAACACGGAATTATTTAGATTAAAATATCATTTACGTACTTTGTTAATCTTCACTGTACATCTCGCTATAAATTTCATATGTTGACCTTGATGTATCCTTGACAAGATCTTGACATAACCTTGATATAACCTTGGCATAACCTTGATATAACCTTGGCATGACCTTGACATATCATGATAGTTTTCGTTCAAAAAAGTTGTAGATTACATTGTATAGTATAATTGTCAAGAGAAAACTTCAACCTATGTATGCTAAATAATTGAAATCGCGAAAAATAATTTTTCAAAAACGGTAGAAATATTTGGATCCATTTCCAATGCTTTTTCGAATACAAAGAAACCCTCGGAAAAATAACAATGTAGGGAAAACAGACCGCATGGTTACAAATTTCCATATCAATACCAATAAATTTCTACAAGCCACGCTTCGATCCAGTTTGAAGTCTTTATGGCCAAAAACACCGGCGTACAGTAGTACCGATCATGAGTCTAATATGTCAAATGTTCCAAAACGAACTGTGTTGTATCTACGAAACAAATGTCCATTTCAACTTATAATACGTCAAACATAAAGATGTAAAGATATAAAGTCAAGCGTGATATCAAGTAGCAAAGCATCTGATAGATAAAAATATTTCTCTGAGTGTTCACAGTTTTCGAAAATAAGAATTTTTTATTTTTATATACTATACAATAACTAAAAGATAAAACGATAAAAGAGGAAACGTTAGTATACATGTATCATTCTTCAATAAAGTAATATTAGTAATAGCAACAATAATAATAATAGCAACAACAACAACAACAATAATAATAATAATAATAATAATAATAATAATAATAATAATAATAATAGTGGCATCTTATATATTTGTAATAATTTTCAGCAATAGTGACATAATATTTAATTACTCGCATATTCTAAGAACGTATTCTCTTGTATACAGGGTGTCTCAAACTTATTGTACTTCGCGCCAGCTGATCTCGCTTCTCATTGGTCACTGTTTTTCGTTAATAACTCGTAAACGAAGCCGCGAATTACATTTTCGCTAAGGAAAAAGTTACTTCAAATGAGTTAAGCTATTATTAATTAGTATTAGAATGTTACTTCAAATTTTTCGCTTGTGCAATAATTTTGAAACACCTTGTATAATAAAGTTTTTATCCTGTATAATATATCTATTAGACAAGTGTTTTTTAGCTATGTATATGTGCCGATAACCCTCATCCACAGCGACGTTCGTTCTACGAATTGGCCCGCCGACAAAGGATTAATTGAACTTGCATGTATCGCCTTGGACTTTTTATAACCGTTGTTAAATGGTAAACGTAAATATCTGTCGAAAAATCCCACGAGTTGGAAAGCAGACCCAAAGTCGCTTTGCAATTTTTACATGGGAACGTGAACAAATTTCCAACCCGAGTGGTTACCCGAGCAACCGATCATTGACACGCGGGTTAAATAAACATCAGTCGTGTAGAGAGCTTGGCTACGTTCTGTCGGGTACTCCAAAGGTTAATAGCGGCACACGACGATAAACGTTCGAAATCCGGATGAGATTTTTTTTTCAAGGGTCATCGTTTTTTCCTTTCTGATCTCTCTGCGCAGGTTTTTCGAACGCATCCAACGTCCACGATTTGCGGCTGGATATCGCGCGTTGTCACGGAGCGTCACCGGCGACGATAAGGAATGAAAAATCATTGCACGTCCCTCGGAAAGGGAGGCGTTGGTCAGGACGCGAGGACGTCGAGTCTGTTTCCGCGGATAGTATACGCGGAACAGTACATTGTGCAAAAAAAACACTATCCAAAATTTCTCATTCTAAAGCCTTACGGTGCACATATTGAAACAATGTTTTGTCTTAATATTTACATTTCTAACGAGACTTCTTGTGTCGACTTTTAATTACTCTGTGTTCGTGAAACA